ACCCTTCTGTGGTCTTATCAAAATCTCCACGTCTTCATATACTCCACATACTGCATGTGAGTATTACTGTTTGGTGAACCGTAAGAATGGTTTAGATGGAGATTAAATCTGGACATCGTTCCTCAACCACTGGCATTTCCAAGTTGGCAGCAGTTCCTTATCGCTCCTCACAGGGCGGGAATTCGAAATTTCGACGATGCTTGCGGTCGCCGTTGTCTGGCTAAGTGATTGTACGCAAGGACACCCCATCTTATATCCCACTCTGTTGGAATCTAAAGCTTTGTTTTTCACGCAGGTGATCAGTGGATTGCTTCTTTCAAGATGCTGTAGTGTTTAAATGACATACAGACTCTCAATAGCTATGTAACAGTTTTAATAATACTGTAGTATGACTGCTAGATACCAGAGTATGTATAGATTAATCTGTTTTCCGTAACGTGAAAGGTGTACAACCATATAATGAAATACCAAAAAAGTAGTTGCTTCCGTTGTTGTTTTTGAGGAATAAATTTTCTCACCTGAAATTATATATTTGAAATGGCAAGGCTGCAGACGTTGGTGGGCATTCTTAAAAACTTTTAAGAATTCGGTATATTCATCAGTGCAGTCTGTCGCGACAGTACGCGAAAGGCCACCCTAAGCATTGTTGGGCCACTAAACTACTCTTGAAGGGAAGCTTTCAGAGAGTAGACAGTAGGTCGCTACTACCTCGAAGGGTATCTAAGCGAAGGTAACAGCCTGAAGTTTTAGTTTTTTGGGTATAATCTCAACTGATATTTCAGTCAAAGGTCTTTCTTACCGAAGCAAGTTTCGGAACAGTGCTTTACTGTTACTGTCTATCCTTCTAGTAGCTTTGGCTACATTTTAACTTTTTTTATTTTATCGTGCCCATTGGGAGTTATTTATTTGTTTTGAGTTTAATTTTTTTTTTTTGTTAGTTTAGTTTTGTTTATTGGTTCTTTATAATATAGCTCTTTTATATTGTACCCTAGTAGTTGAGACGCAAGACCTGTGTTGAAAGCGTCTCACTAATACTATTGTCTAAATATCTCAAATATTCTTCGGGTTGTAATATACTCTAAGGGTTTGAGCAATAAAGAGTTATATAAAGTTCTGGTGTAAACATCGTGAAATCAACATTTGCACATTTAACGTCTAGTCCTCTAAATAAGGTTGGCTCTGTAGGCGTTGGCAACTACAATGCCCCACAGTAGGAAACTATAGAAGTTAGGTTCCTTTAGGAACATATTAGAGGAATTGGCAACAGCACAGCTCCTCAGTTAAATTTGCTGTTGGTAGTTGCGACACAGGGGAAAAGAACGGATGTCTTTGTACCAGAAGCATCGGTTCTAGGCTATTGTACTACAACTTTTCCAGCTTGTTCCTGTTGGATTTCTTTACGTTTCTGTACACCAATGATTTTTAGAAAACCTAAAACTTAATCTCAAATTCGTCAATCGTTTGATGCTGTGTATTTTTTGGCTGAAGTTTAGAATGGTCGTCGTTGATTTAATGAAGGTTTAATAGAGTTCATAATGAAGATTATTTTATTTTTTGTCTGTTCATAGAAATACTATTCATTGCTGGACTGGATGTGCGACACCTTATCTTCTAGTAAATGCACTTTCTTTTAACTGTACAGTCATGATAAAAATTACAAGTATAAATGGTAGCGAAGACTGCAGCAATTTTCACAGCATTGAAGTTCAGAGTCCCTTAAATAAAGGCATTTGGCCAGAACTGTGAGAGAAGAGAAGAGACACTCTTCAGAAACAAAGTAGGACTTCTCAAACCGATCTTTGAACACTACTGGGAATTCACTTTTAAGCAAAGCTTTTGACGTAAGGAGATTTTCGTACTATTCCGTCTTTGCATATTTAGTGCTGTCTAAGCTTTAGGCTACTAGAACGCTTTAGTGCATTCGGTAGTATAAAACTTTTGAACTTATTCACACTCCAGTGCTTCTGCTGTTTTGGTCTCCATCCTCTTAAAATTCTCACATGCTTCAGTTTTGACGCGGGTCAAAAATACATCTCCTGAGCGGAATCGTACCTACTTTTGGTAATCTCTGGAGCGAAGCAGTAAAGTGGACAGATTTGGAAAGTTTTGCTAGATTACAGCCGGGGACCTTAAAGCTGCTCGTTACGGTGGCCTTAACTTGTTTAGCAGACTACTTCACTAAAAATTTGTTAGTTTGTTTCCTCAGAACCGTTCACTGTGATAATCAAGAAGCGCTCTTTTTCTTGACAAGTTTTGTCAACGCTAAGAAGCAAACAGAAAACGAGTTTCTGATTAGCAGCCCTGTATGAAAAAGAGGAGTAATGTAGCTGCCGGATGGAAAAATATGATATAAAAGTTGGTAAGCTCGTTAATCGTGCAAGAAGTCGAGCGTGTTAACGAGGTTTATGTGTTTTGACCAACAACTTTTGTTGGTTTAGCGGTTTTTTAAAGTGTTGGGTCTTTAGAGAATTCCAAACACTTTATTTGCGTAAACAGAACATAGTATAATGTGCTTACTGAAAAACACTGCAAAATCCCAAATAGTTAGTGTTATCAATAAAAGAAAGGACGAGAAAATGAAAAAAGGCAGAATGTATAGTGTTGTTTCAAAGAAACAAGTAGCAACATTCTGGCCTTGTAGCGATTACTATAATATTTCGCTCTTTTTGAGGAAGCAGGTGTAATACTCGTCAAATAGTCAGTGAATATTTCATAAATAAAGTGAATAAAAAAATTTTATACTAAAATATACTAAAACTTCCCTCTACTGATAGGATTGATGAATATTTGTACAGTTAGAGAAACTCGGTTCGATTTTCTTTTTCTATAAAAGTTGGATATTTTTGATTATACAGAGTCAAGAAAATGACCATAAGTTGTTGCTCACCAGTGACTAATCAGATTTAGTGAACTCAGCTTAGAACCAACATATGAAAATTTGTTCCTCCTTTCTCAGAGGGCAACCGATAATTTTTGGTGGCAAAACTGTTGCTATTCAGATTTAACCGGCAACACATAACGTTATTCAATCGGCCAAATGGGATATTCAAATAGTTTCAGAAATTATTGAATCTTTTATTAAAAATAAAAGAAAGAAGATTTTACTTTTTGATCTGATCGGTTGAAGATAATAGATATTGAACATCGCTATTGACTGCCAGTTTCTTTAAGATTCTGAATTAAAATTGTACAAAGGATCACGAAAAAAGATGATAAAAAAAAAAGAAAACAAGTAAGCCTTTTTCTTTTTTCCAGGAAGAGTTTTATTTGTGCTATTAGTATTTTGCCGAAGCAGTTTTCACTGCAAACGGTATTGTACACATTGTTTTTAGGATACCATGTATCAATGCATTATTTATGTATCAATATTTTCAGGCTATCATTAAAACTTCTGCGAGTATTAGATACTAAATCTGGATTCAGACTCTTGCTGATTGTGTAAAGGCGTTGTTCTACTATAGTTTTGAAATCCTGACTTGCTTAAATTATGCAGGTTGTTACGGACATTAGCCACACTAGAAAGTGAGAAATTAAAAACAAAATCTAGTTCAAAACAGAGTTGTGATTTTTTTTACCTTGAAAAAAGGAACAATTACAAAAAAGAAAAATAAGCCATTGCTGAAGTATTACTTAGCACTCTGATAAAATTACTGAGTTTTTGCTTTGCTTATTTCAGTCATTGAAAAAAAGTTTCATTCAAAACCAATTTTAATGTTCAGTAAAATATTTTTCAAAATGCTTTTCAATTTTTGCTTAAAATAAAAAAAGACTGAGTAGATATCTAGCAAAATTGTAACCAGGCTGTATAATGTATAACAGAAAAAATTTTTATATATTCAATCATCTCAATTTCTGCTGGCAACTGGTGATATCATATCGGATGTTTACTATTGTTATTAAGAAATTAGAAAAAATTGGCAGAAAATTTTGACCGACAACCGAAACACACTTTTCTTTCCAAAGAAAGTTTCACTACTATTACTATTAATTCCACTATTAATATTAATAGCATTATTACCAATAATATCATCGTTATAATGCTGTTTATATTGACACTGTTAACGAGAAGTAATCCTTTCTATGACTGAGAGTAGTACTGTTATTACTGCTATCAATTTTACATAGCATTTCAGATACTGAAGTGTTGTTGTCAAGCTGTGCCAAAAAATAAAATATTTATTATGGTATTTAAGTGAATAATTTTAGAATATCGCTGCTTTTTTTGCATTACCTGTATTTAAAAAGTTCCATTCAGATAATAGACGTTAATTAAACCGGTAA